GATTCTCTTCTATATTATACAAAAGAATTAAATTATAAACCGCAATTATTAGCACTTATTCACAAATATAATTACAATAATAATTTTGTTTCTTATTCTTACCTCTTAAAATATTATTTATAACAACGATATTTACACATTTATATATAGTAAGCAGTTAAAAGGTAATTCACCGTATAAGGAGCTTCAGTTATCCTCTGTTAAACCAAGGAGTCCGGAATGATGATCTCATCATGCCGATTTACAACCTATCTTTCAACGACTACGTGAGGGGATGTGATTGGAGAGTCGTATCACAATAGGCGGCACAATCATTTCGTACAGCATACACAACGACGAATGTATACTGTCTACATAATGTGCGAGAACTTATACTGCTGTCACAGCGATTAACTGCAAACGATATATAAATGTGTGGGGTAGGATTCTCTTCTATATTATACAAAAGAATTAAATTATAAACCGCAATTATTAGCACTTATTCACAAATATAATTACAACAACAATTTTGTTTCTTATTCTTACCTCTTAAAATATTATTTGTAACAACGATATTTACACGTTTATATATAGTAAGCAATTAAAAGGTAACCCACTGTACAAGGAGCTTCAGTTATCCTCTGTTAAGCCAAGGAGTCCGGAATGATGATCTCATCATGCCGATTTACAACCTATCCTTCAACGACTACGTGAGAGGATGTAATTAGAGAGTCGTATCACAATAGGCGGCACAATCATTTCGTACAGCATACACAACGACGAATGCATACTGTCTACATAATGTGCGAGAACTTATACTGCTGTCACAGCGATTAACTGCAAACAATATATAAAATGTGTGGGTAGGATTCTCTTCTATATTATACAAAAGAATTAAATTATAAACCGCAATTATTAGCACTTATTCATAAATATAATTACAATCAAGTATTCTTTATTTTTACCTCAAAGACATAAAGAATGATACTGCACATTTTGTATATGGTAAGCAATTGACAAGCAAGTCTGGTATGACGGTAGAGGTAACCAAACCATAACACTGATTTTAGCCTATTCTTGGGACGGCCACATGAGATGCAAATAGAGTCTTCTCATAACAGGCAGCACAAACGGTCGATTTTGCCTCCAGGCTACGCCAAAAATAATCGACAAAAAATAAAAATAAATAAATAATCAAATAGTGTAAATTTCAAAAATGTAAGTATTTTGAGAAATGGATTGATTTTTAGATTTCGCAAGGTTAGAAAATTTAACAATTCAAATATATGAAAACAATGTATAAAAAAACCTCGAAAATTGAAGTTCAGCTCTCGTAGTTCCAAAATATCGAAGCAATAAGCAAAAGTTTTCCCATATCGATAATTCCCTTCGCATAATCGTTATATATAGTCTTATCGACTTTGTCATTGTGATAGTTGAATTAAAATTTATCTACGAATTTCTTATAACAACCCTAGTGATAATTCGACAGTTTAGCAATAAGATCATCCAATTTACTCATGATCACAGATCTCGAGACCCATTATCACGCTATGTGACAAACGTGAACGCGTGGCATCCTATAGAGACACATGTATTAGTAAACTGTGTCATAGTGAAGAGAAAAGTGGGCATAACTAAAGTAAGAAAATAATTATCTGAATCTCAGAATCTTTAGACAATCCTTAATTCTCGGATAAATCAATCCACGCCTCTATCGAAGTCTACTATATTACGGAGTAGATAGCTTTTCAGTATTAGATCCGGCCTTTACATTTGCGTGACCATACCTCAATTTAGTTCTGTTCCAAACTGTATTACACTTTTTCAATACGCAACGGCGAATGCACGCTTCCAGTGTATTGTGCAAGTGCTTATTCAAATGGTTACTGCAAAATATAAAATGGTTGTTTCTACTAGAGTTGGGTAACGAAACCCGAAACTATATATAAAATCCCGAAACCTTTTCCGAAACTCTATACTATACTAAAAGG